CCTCAAACTCCTTGCCATTGAATCGATACCAATTCTAGCCTTTCAGTGGGTTTTCTGAGACTGTAAACTGTTGCACTGAAGGAGATTATTCAGCTTTCTCCAGAGGAACAGTTGGTGGATTCAAACTGCCTGTCCTTGGATTGGCAAAACAACTTCTTAACCATGGGCTTCCAGAGCTCCCCGATGTCCACATCATCAAAAAAAGGTCTATGTAAGAAAAGATTCTAAAATAATGATAACAATAATAATAATAATAAAAACAAAGAAAACACACATTCATGTTGTGTTTTAAAAACCTGTAAGAACCACACAACCTGAAGTTGCTTTGCACCTGGAGTATCAGTTTTAAGAGTGAAAACTATTCCAAGACAACAGTAATCTTCAGATCTCTCCTCTTTCGTGTTTCTCTGTTAACTCAAAAGTGACCTCTGACATTTTCTTTCATGATCTCGCCCCCACGTCTAGGTGGAAGAGCATCGGACTGAGCAAAAGAAGTTAAAACTCCTCCAAAAGAAACAGGTGCAAGTCCTGAAAGAGAAGGACCAGTTACAGAGTGAGCACAGCCGAGCTATTCTCGCTCGCAGCAAACTGGAGGGTCTGTGCCGGGAGCTGCAGAGACACAACAAGACTCTGAAGGTAAGTGTCACATCTCAGATAACATGTTTCAGAAGGTAGGTGTCTGTCTGTCGTGTCTCAGATAATACACTTTCTTCCAGGCAGCAGAGACACTGGCCTCTCCAACTCCTGGGAAGAGAGTCAGTTTTGAGATTCAGAAAGGCTGAGGTTCAACTACTACTAGCCTGACCAACGGATGCTCTGGTGGCCTAATAAGTAAGGAATGATGCTGCCAACCCAAAGGCAGGCGCTTTGAATCTATCAGGAACTCTCTGGAAGGAAGATGAGCAATCTCCTCCCCCGCCCCTCCCCATGAGATCTACAGGTGAAAAACCACTAGGTCAGTTATGAGTTGGTTCTGACTTGGTTGCTCATGACAACAGCCTTGCTGATGGCTCCTTTGATATATGACCTTTGCTATATGATTTTTTCCTCCCTGAGAACTGTTTCCTCATCTGTAAAATGGAGATTCCTCTGTGATTCCACTGTGGGGTTGGCGATTTGACCCAATGACACCTAAAACAAACAAAGGCCCATGTGAGGCTGGAGGAAAAGGCTGTCACATAGGTGCCCACACGTACCTGATGGAGAGCAGACAATCAGATCCGTGTAATTCTCTTTACCTTCAACATCGTGTTCACTGCATCCGCTGTGCGGGTTATGTGATCAGGTAGGCATTCGCTCAGCTTTTCAGAATATAAATGTGCACAAATGGAACTTTTTGTGTGCATGTCTGTAAGGAAGTCTGAAGGATATGCAATGAATTGACACACAGCTAATTGGCCTAATAAATGGAGATGGAGAGCCAAAATGTCAATAGTTGTCTGAAAAAAGAGAAGCTACTTGAGAAAACACTGGAGCTCTTCAGATTTAATTACTCAATCTTAAAATAATAGACTGATCACTTCATTCAGTCAGCATGGGTTTCACTAATTACGGCGTAAACCACTGGCAGTGTGGTTAATTTGATTACACACAGACACTAGTGTCTTTCAATGAAGCAGGATGAGGGCTTCTCTAAGATAATACGGTATGGGGCTACAGTTCCCCTCCTGGCAAAAGATCCTGCAGCTTCTGGAAAGCAAGAATTAATTGTT